GAATATAAATACTTTTTTTCCTGTCTGTTTTGGAGCGTTCTGGAGAACCACTCACCTCCCCCCTCCCCCCCCCTTTTTTTTAACCACTAAATGAAAGCAGATCTTCTTCTGCTCTCACTTAACTCCCTTGGGACTTAAAAAATATGGCAATACTCAACTGCAAGAGTTGGCAACTTTATACCAACTGTTTGCTTGTGGTATCTAAAATGTAAGCTTTTGCACCCCAATTCCCAACTTTCAGGGTGTTGGCACCCTTGTCAATTTGAATTTCGGTTTTCTCCATGTGGTCCAGTCCACACAACCAACTCTTCCTCCAGCAGGTGGAGATACAAATACAATGAGAATTTTCAGATTTAAAAAACCCACCGTGCTCTACAACCTTGCAAAGGAAAGGACAGAACCAAAACTGATAGAACTCAGATCTCACTGCTTTATTGTCTCTTATCTTTATTTATAGCTGTATAAAGTTTTCATAGATTAAAACACTACCTAGCCTCAACGACATCTCTTGGCGAAGCACAACTTGAAAAAAAACGTGGAACTAATGTCATTAGTTAGGATGTTACATGAGAAACTAACAAAAAGTACTGGCAAAACAAATTCCTTGCTACTAAAAAAACCCTGCATCAAGCCACACAGATAAAATACTAGAAAAGAAAACACCAGGGCATGTCAGGTAAGCAAAGACCTCCCTGAGAGTTTGGCTAGTAACAACACTTGTCTGATTTAAACAAACTTAACAGAACTTTTCATATCTCACAGATAATTCAGTTCCATCAAGTTTAGGCAAAAAAATAGCCACAGAGAGAGATACTATAGGTCCTTACTATAGGAAAAGCATTTGCAGAAGCACCCAGGCATTAGACTTTGGAGAATCTGGGTGGGGGGGAAGCAGTTATAAATGCAACAACCACTGTGCAATAATTCAATTAGAGCTCATGTTTTAAGGCCCTGACACCAATCTGCTACTCACAGACTTTCTTGGTTTTAATGTTTTGATACTCTTGGCCTTCTTTCTTAGTGTTAAAACTACATTACCTGCATTTTATCGGAGGAGACAATGACCCAGAGGTTGTTTGACTTGCCAGCTGTAACAATGCAAATGAGTGGCAAATCCAGCGTTTTGAACGAAGCACTACGAAGACTTCTAATCCCTGCCCACAAGCACATGTGCTCCTACTAAAGCATGCCCACAGTTCACTCCTTTGTGCCATCCTGCATGCAAGTTTTCATACTCATTCAAAAATCATGCTGAAGAAATACACCACTGCAATCATATCCACTAAACTGAAGCACAGACTGCAATGCCAGGATTTATTGTGCACATGGATTATTCTGAGTGGCTTGTGCACTGACTCACAATCAAGAAATGGCCTAAGTTCTTACCAAGCTATTTGGATAATGAAAGAAGACAGACAGAAAACAGATTCCACGGCCAAAAGATGACTCACAGATCATCTGTGGTACTTAGTCATTCTGAATTAGGGACAAGTGGATTTGGCCCCAAATGATGTTTCAAGTTCCTGAGAATTCTGGATGGTGACAGATAAACAAAACACCCCGCATCCTGTTTTATTTATCCCCAATACAGTCTAACTATCTTGCAGATCTGGCAGGCTTTCTGGAGTTTCACAGAGCCCTATGTTTTCTTTTAGACACTACTCTGCATAAGCATTAGTCAAATACCAGATATTGGGAAGGTGTAGTTCTCTTCAGAAAAGAAATACACCAAAACAGAGGACAATACACGGCATCTCTCAGCAGGCACTGGGAGGCTACTAGGTCACTAAATACTCAAACTTTTCACAGCACTGTAAATGTATGTGGCATGGCAGCAGATAAGAGAAAAAATATGGCTGTCTTCCCAGTGACCTTATGAACTGACAGACGGGATAGCGGTTCACAGTTTCATACTTTGCTTTTCCTAACATGGATGTTGAGGGGTGGAAGGGAGGATGAGCTTCCCAAATGAATCTGAAGAGATGTGAAGGACAACACTCTGAATGCCATTTGAAGCACAATGGGTACAACCAGTCAGCCTCAAAAAAACAAATTCCTCAAAGTTATCCCAACATTTCTTAATCTCCTACACAAGGGAAGTCTGCATTTTTCTGTGATTCTCTGGTCAGAATTCTTTAGTCATCGTCTTGCTCAGATTACTTTGCAGAGCAGCATCACCCATCAGCAGTGCCACGCGCTCGCTTGCTGGCTGTTTGAACCAGGCACCGTGAGGAAGCTGGCACAGGAGCTGGCAGTGTTCGGAAGATTCAATCTTCTCCTCAGACATTGGCAAGCCGGTCTCTGTTAACCCCATATCTGCTGCAGAGAGCTGACAGCAAGTCTTCCCTATCTCCACCTTGCTCTCAGGCCAATGACCTTAAAGAAATGGGGGTCCTCACAGACCATGGCACCAGAGTCTATATAAATATGTAGAACTTGAAGAAATATGGGAGAAGCACTTGTGAGAGATGTCACACTAATATTACATTAAAAATCCAACTATTTTCCATGCTGCTAAGAAGTAACTCCTTTTTCTGCAAAAGGCCAGAGGAAATTTGCTGGATTACTACTGGGAACATAAATGCATTTTCAAAGAAAACTAGGTATCAGTCCCAGAGGCCATTCCCCAACTTTGGATCCTTACCCTTAGCCATTTGCCTAATCCAGCAGTCAGCCTGGGCTGATAGCCAGTGTTCTTCCATTACAAGCGGAGCAATCTCATCAACAGCTGGGTAACCAAGCATAGCAAGTGCAGGACTAAAAGTGACAGGACCTGTTAGAATAAGATTTCTTGAATGAAACAATACACTGACGATGGCTCCTAATTCAAAGACTCGATACCCATTTAGGTTTGATTGTCAGAATGTGCTGGAAACGTCCAGTCCAATTTTACCACTTCCCCAGCAGGATTGCCAATACTCTGTTTTTAACCAACAGTGTGTAAGAGGCTTTGTTAACTGCTTTACCACAATTTTGAAAACTTTAACTGAGTTCGGCACTTGCACGAAGTCTGAAGCTGACAGCTTGGTTGCTGCCATCACCCCTGACTTTCTCTGGGAACATGAGCAGAACCTACCTGTAGCCCATGACGCAGTTCTCCACACTGCCTCTCTGTTAAATTCCCCATGGAGAGGACATCATAAAGCAGAGTCTAAACAGAGGTTTTTGAGTGGAGAGCTGCAGCAAGCATAAGCAGCATTCCCTACAGGGGTTTTTACCGCACCGTCTTTGGGACATTTCTGCACTTTCAGTACAGAGACACCGGAGCTGGGTTAGTATATGGTAACCTAGCACTAGAAATGTCAAGAGCATGAAGCAGATACACAGTTGCACCAGCTCAAATATTTGAAGCCTTAACTAGTAACTTAAAAATGCACTTTCTGATTGCAGTCTACAACCAATGGAAACTACAAACTTGTCTTTTTAGTCTACAAGTCAAGGTAAACTGCTGAGCATACAAAGCAGCTCAGGTATATGGCTGGTTGAAGACAAAAATGTAAACTGCTCTGAACTCCTGTTGCTGGGTTGCAGAAACAAGGTTTCTGTTCACAAGCTTCTTCTGTTACTGTCTGAACTGCACTAACTCTGGCCCAGTTTTCAAAAGACAGAGACACAGGCAGCACTTGTAGAAATAGGAGATACTTGAGCCTGCAAGATGCACACTTACAGAAGAACCTGTTACTTAGAAGTTGCATCTGGAGTGGTAAGCCCTCATGTTTAAGTAGAAGTAAGGGAAAGTCCTGGAGTGTCTTGCTGAGGAGCAATCTCCACAGCTTTCAGAAGCACTTGTGGTACTGGAGGCATCAGTCGGGGAATGAGGCCTCCAACCTCCTTAACAGGACATGGATTGGATTGAATGGGAAAGAAGGAAGTCCAAGTCAGCAACAGTCTCCTTGGTTAACGTAAAAAAGATGAAAAGCCTAAGTGTCTAGGAGGTAGAGCTCCCAAACTCTAACCCTCCACCCCTAGTCCCTCACCATCAACCCTCCCAGCAGGCTGCCAAGTCTCTAAGCCCCACTGCCAGAAAGCTGGAAAGTTAAGCTAGTAAGAAGCTGGACAGTTTTTTCAATAAAATATCTTGCTAGAACTAGGACACTTCTGCAATTTTGCAGAGGATGTTGAATCAGCACATTCACACAGAACATCCTTGCAGGGGAAATGTCTCCCCCGACCAGTGGTACACTTAGTAAATCCTAGACAGCCAAGGAGACACGGAGATTTCTCTCAGTATAACACACCTCTAAAGGGCAAAGTAAAATCAAGAAATTAAAACCACTTGGGATTAACACTGCTCTAAAGAACGAGTTCATACCGTCTCAGCTCCCAAATTAGACTGTTGCTTTAAGCACCACAGCTAAACTCATTGTATATTCTTACCAGTAATATGCTATTAATATCAGACATGAACAGATATGCCTTGCCCTGCACAAGACAATGTTTTTTCTCCCATATTAAAATATTAATTCCTCTGTAATGCAGAAAATTTTAAGAGTTTTACAGCATTCATACAGTGCCATGAAAAAGGCAATATAACTAACAAGGAACAGCAAAAATGGAAACAAATTAATATATTGCAATTTAATTTCCTGGAAAATAATGTGCCACCAGCTGTGTAAACTTTCTTGTAGCTAAAACAAATATTCTGAAAACAAGCAAGCAGCTGATTTACACTGTAGCATATTTCCTCAGCAGTCAAGTCTCCCAAGGAAGCTCTTAAGTTCTCTCGTAAGACTATACAAAGGCTTTAAGGATAGCCATACAAAAAAATGATTTGATAAGCAAGATTCTGAACAATCTTTATTTTTTATGTTCAACTCATTAACTCTTGAGCTCCTGCTGACACAGCTAGTACTCCTGCCACATATACTATATGCTCCCTGACCGCAACAAATAACCAGCACAGCATGCACTATTCTTCTGATACACCAGACAAGACACAGGCAGACTCTAGCAGCTGGACTCTTTGGTTTTGTCTCCTGAAGAGAGAGGTGATGGCCCACCTGCTGACTCCAGTAACAGGCACCGTGCATTCTGTAGAGTCTCCTCTTCTGGAAACTGTGATGAAGTGGCATTGTTCGGGCAGATGTTCTCACATTAGCCACAGAGAGAGATCTTAGCCTTGTCCTGTCTCTTCTTCTTTTCTTAATGTTCTGATGATCAAGCAAACAGCTGCTTGAAGAGGACACCTCTCTGTTGTCTGAAGCTCTGCAATTTCATGATTAGTAGGGGGAGGAAATACAAAAAGTTAAATATACTCCACGCGCACAGGCCAACATTTCATACACCTATTAGCACGGGCTATCTAATTCTAAGAATTTTACAAACACTAAAATGTTTCAGCAGACTGTTTCAGGAAACCATGTATGTGCTTTGTTTGCTCTTCGATTAATTCAATTCAATTAGGTCATGAAAGGAAGTTTATCGTTCCTGTTCACTTTTCTGCTCATGGAAAAAAATGTCAAAATGAAGTTAAGCCCTCACGCATATACCGGGTTTTGGTTTTTCCTAATTCAAAAACTCTAACACTTCTAACACCTAGGAGTTTTAAGTTACAATTAATAATTCCCTACAAACATACACTCAAGACAGCAGTCATGCCAACACAAAGAATACCTAGGGTCCTGTGCTATAACTTCTGAGATTTTCTAGTTTTGCTCAAGAACTGAAACTTAAGTAAAGCTTTACAAACCAGCATCCATTCAGCATAGCGGTTGAAACTCACTGTGAAGCAAATCAGGAACTCTGCACACAAAATTTAACCTACACAAGGCCATTAAACTTCACGTTCAGGGACATGCCAATAGAGTTGCTCAACAGAGGCCAAGCCTGGCGGAAGCTCTCGGTGAGGAGGGAAGGCCCAGCCTGTTTGTCTGTCTTTAAGAGCTAGAAGCTGGTTAGACAAAGATGATTTGGAAGAATGCAAGCTGAGCTCCAGTCACAATGTAACAGGGCCTACATGGACACACGGAAAGCTTCATTTTAACATTAAATCTCCATCTTACCTGCATTTCACCAAGGCTATCCTTTTCAAATCCCCCTCAGTGTTACAGCATCATCCCTCCACAACCTTACCTACACACACTTGCTGTACTCATGACCTTAGTAATGCAGTATGCAATCACAAAAGTTATGTGACAACACAGGGCCAAGAGTGGTAGAAAACCCTCTACGTCTATGTATAACAATCTTGGATCACTTTCAACCAATCTATTGTCTGTCTGCTCACCAGAACAGGGAACACCACAATATAAGAATTCAAAATGCCCCCCATTTGGGTGGGAATGTTTCCATGGGAAGAATGCACTTCACTTTTATAGGTATTCTGATTTATTTTATTGCTGTAGCAACAACTGCCTGCAAAGCTTAAGGCTCACTGCAAAAAGCACTGAAGTGTGCATTTATTTTTACAATACTGAAGACCTTGACTGCAGCTCTAAACCACCTGAGAAGTGCAAGTATATGAGATATTTTGGCCTTCATTCATAACAGGTCATCTATCTGCACAAAATGTTATTTTCTCTCATGAACTTTATCTGCCAAGTCACAGTCTTCTTAGCAAAGCTATAACACACAACAAAACATGAAAATGAATTTATTACAAGGCCATTTATCAATCTTATTTGACATGTAGAAACCTTCTTACAGTACATTTTATTAAAAAGAAGTGCTTGTTATGAAATTGTGATTAAACACCATCCCATGCAGTGCTGGTCTGGTAATATGGCTTTATGGGCACAAATTTGAGCTGTCCTCCTGACACATCAGAACAAGCCCATAAGCAACACAGACTCGATGAAAAAAATGTGCTAATTAAAAGAGCGATGGTACAACATATTTAAAGGCATGTTGTTAGTAAGAGATAGTCATTAGTGCCAAGAAAAAGCCAAAAATACTGAAGCATGACATTCTTAATGCTAACATTGAATTTTTAAAGCTTAAGAAAGACAATGTTTGAAGTCCTTGAAAAAGTTTTCTTAAAATACTTTCTCTGAATTCTCAGTTTTCTCTTCAAGGTCTTCTTTGACCTTGAAGTCAGATGGTGCTGAGCCCAACTTCTGGGCTTCCACATACCTCCCTCTTACATGAAAGGCAACTTGGACAGGTAAATTAGAACAAAAAGCTCCCCAGTCTGGCTCTTCAACTTCTGTGACTCCTGCCTTTGTTCTGGTGGTCTGCCCTGGTCTTTGATAATCTCTCTTCAGTCTCTGCCAGCTGCTCTATTTACCCTCCTGTGCCTTACAGCAATACATGGCACCATTTTCAGATGAAGCAGAGATCTTAGCTCTGTGGCTTGGAGCTTCAGTACACAGCAGTATGGTTTTCCTGCCACTTGTGTAAATAGGCTTCCCAGTCAAGGTTCGAGTTATCTATTTATTTTGATGTTATTTTGGGTGTTTTCCAAAACGCGATTCTACACAAGAGCGGAGATTAACCATCACCACATGTAAAACTCACCAATTTGCTGCAACACACCTTTCAAAGCTCATAGGTTGGCCTTTCCTGCACTGTAGCCTAGCTGAAGTGCAGAGACCTTACTCACAGATACACACACATGCACAGCGCGCCATCAGACAGGCACTCTTTGTACTGATGTAATTAACTTTTTCATTCCTCTCTCCTGATAAGAAAGCGGTTATCACTAGGTTAGGGAACTGCTTCTATGAACATTTACCTTCAATGCATCTGGCTAATATTAGCATCCAGATTCAACTGAGCAAAGAAAAGCTACGTAGAAAGAGAAGCCACCAATGAAATCAGACCTTGACAAATGGCAATTCAAGGCTACCCACATTCAATCACCCAGGAACCGTACATACACCACCACTTCCACTGAGAACAGTCCAAGAAACCAACCGTACTGCAACCCCGTAATTACCAACCTTGAAGCACCTCACACTTAAACTTACTTTAAACGTGGACTATTATATCTTTCCCATCAAGAGCCTAAACTAATTTGAAGAACTTACTTAAGGAAAAACCAGTCATCCCTATTTTTTCCTCTTCAAAATGAAAAAAATACCTTACTCTCCCTGTGATTTTGATTTCTACTTTCTCAAATACTTCATACAGTCAGAGTGAGCTCTAGAAAGAGCGAGGGGAGAAGCAGCCAAGAAATGAAATGAACTGCAGTATGTAACTTTCTCAATTAATTGCACACAAAACTACTACCACAACAACAAAATACCACAAAAAACCTGAAACACACTCAAAAAACCTGAAACACACTCAAAAAACCCAGAATAGGAGGCAGCAAATTTCCCTGCAGGATTCTCATGATAACCACTCTGTATCATGCTTAAACACCATCTTTAATGAACAGTATTTATTTTCAAATTTCAAAACACTTCACAAGAAGTGAAAAACTAAAACTACACTATTTAACTGACTTTTAAGATGACATCTAGAAAGCTCTCAAGTCTCTCAGATTCTGAATTTCCCCTACATTATCTGCAAACAACTGCTATGTCAGGAGCATGAATTCTATGTGACAGGTTCACTTCATCCTTAAATTTCGGGCACAGTCACACAATCGCTTTGGAAGAGACGGCAGTTAAAGAAGCTGCCTATCCAAGCTGCTCATTATAATCTCTTTGTGGGAGGCTACAGCCTCTGTGGCAAAGCTTCTGAAACAGACGGTGTGGCCAGCTCTTCCTGGAACCGGGAGCCAGGCAAATATGTACTGCTGCAGACACTGCCATAAACCTCCCAGTTCTAGTAGGGAACACTTTCTTCATCCACTTGACCTTAATAAAGATGTATGAATAACAGCAATCACTCCATCCTCAAAAATAACACTACCAGAATCTCAGGAGAAATATCCGACATACTATTTAACTCTTATGTAAGACAGGACTGTAGCCAATTACCTTAATGCTGTTTTGAGACTAATACTGATTACAGCCTGTACTGTACTTTAAAATCTTAGAATAAAAGATGGAGTTACTAAGAAGTATGGAGTAGTACTGAGAAACATTTTTCTACAAGCTTAATTTCAAACAGCTACAGTCATCCTGGAAGGTATATCCATCCAGAACAAAAGACCACTAATGGAAAAATACTATCTCTAAATTCTTGAAAAAGTATCTGGCAGAGATAAATTTGGCCTTGTATTGAAGACTGACGGGCTTAAAATTAATCAAGCTGCCACAAAAAGCTAACACTGACCCAGGCTGAGGCACAGGTGACATTGCTTACGTATTCTACCACTCTAGTAAAATCTAGTTTGTTGCTTTTCCAGAAATAAAGTTGCACTTGTGATGACAGAAGGCATTGTCAGTAGTGGTGTTACTTACTGTATCCTTTCACTACCTCACAGATATATTCATCTTCCCAGTACTTAAATGTACTTGCAGTGACTGTATACTTTTACGATGTCTTTAAGAACAAAACAAAACACAGCTACTTTCAACCTTACAAGCAAGATTTGACTCCTCTTGAAGCTTGCAGAAAGCACCTCTCTTTTCCTGATTCAGTACCATAATGATTATCAGTTCCATCTACATGGCTTTACCAAAAGTTATTTAAAAAAAAAATGCTACCGCACTGTCACCTACCTGAAGGAAATGCCATTGACCAGCTGTCTGGGCCTACAGGTCTTGGATGAAAGAGATGAAGAAGCTGGAGACAGACTGAGTGGAGCAATTAGGCTGCTAATGATTTCACTCAGTTGTGCACTCTGGAAAAAATTAAAAAAATAAAAGGTAGTCAGACTTTTATCCTGACTCAATACCTCAAAGCTCATTGTTTTTTGTTGTTTCTTACTCAGGATTCCAGTCGCGTACATCGTGGAATAATCATATTTATTTTCTTTTTGTGAATAATCAAGCGTAGCATGTTTTTTCTTTCACAATTATTATGTCCTACAAAAAAAAGCAAACCCCAACATAAAAACAACACAACCCTGAATAACCAGCCAAGGACATTGTTTATACATTTGAATATGTAGTACACAGAATGTATTAGTGATCTTAGTACTTTAACCAAAGTTTTTTAAAAAGGCAAAAGAAATGAGAACACTTTACAGCCGATGTTACAACAGCTGCAGCCCAGAGCTGCTAACTGGCCATTCAACAAGCATTTCAATATGGGGAAAAAAAAGAGTCTGCTGTCTACTCAGTGTACATTTTATTCAAAAGCATTTTCCTGTTAAAAGAATCCTCTTCATTGCTCACTTAGTTTGACACAGGTGTTTTTATAAACGGAAGTTTAACTACAGGAGGACTATTCTAACTACAGACAGAACGGCTAAAATCTTCTGGCATCCTCAAAAATAGCAACAAGAAGATCGTACCCCACCCCCATCACAGTCTTCCAGAACTGCCCCAACACAAATGCAGCTAATTTGTTAAGACTGAGAATTACTCCTTATAAAGCACTGAATTGTGGACTGATTCCAGATAATGTTTCACAATGATTTTTTTGTTTTAAATGTCAAAACTTAAAGGGTGTTCTGACAATAAATGTAACTTTCTTAGAGGAAATTGTGTCCTCCACATGAAACAGAAATTAAATGTATATGAAATGGCTTTTTTTTTTTTTACCTTTTACATTACTTTGTAGGATTTTAATTCAGAATGAAGTTTGTTTAAAATAAGAATTGCTAAAGGTTACCCAGTAAGTTTTCTTTACATTTTGAGGCACTACCATTGATGCAGAAACAGGCAGAAAAAATTATTTTCCATTTTATTACAACTCATGTCTTTTCTGTTCATGTTTAAGTGATGCATTCAGGTAAAAATTTCATGTCAGAATAAAATATACAGGGATGGATACTAAAGCACAGAAATAGCAAGTCAATTACAAAGGTTCTGGACAAAGCAAACAAGATGCCAGCAAAATATTTAGCAGGTTGAATTCTGTTGAGATTTTAAAATCAATCTGTAAGGAGCAAAGTCTCTACTGAATACAAAAGCACCAAAAAAATGGCAGACTTCCAAAAGACAAGGAAAAACATACATGTTTTTAAAACGTTTCATAGCTAGGAAAAGGACTTGAAACAAGTACTAATAAAAATTGGCAGGCTCAGTCACTTCGTATTCTTTATAAATTTTTTTTGCTCACAAGTAAAATGATTTATTTTGAACACAGAAATACTTTAACATAGGACTAAAGAATTCTGTGGGAATATCTGTGGATGTACTTCATCCTACATCGTCACTACTCCCGACACTGTACAAGAAGAAACTCAGACCTTCAGAGTTAAGGTTGATTTACAGAACTGACAGTCAAAAAGCAAACCAAACCCCAAAGCTTTTTGTGATGTAAAGGGAAGAAATCTGATGTAATGTGTGAGATGTGTTAAATGAAGAACACCTTTACTACCAACTAATTTTCAAACCATCAAAGTTCTTGGTCCTCTGCTTATAGCTACTTAAGGACCAGGAAACACACTACTGTTACTTTAATTGTGAAACATCTTACTGAAAACTCTGTTTAATCCTCCAAGCAATCAGTTAAAGAGGGGACATTCACCACATTCTAAAAATGCTCTTTGGTTTACCTTGTGCAATTGCAAGCAGGGCACATACAAATACCCTATTTCACTGGTTCCTCACTCCTCTCTGTTGTGGATAAGATCTATCAAACAGGGGAAGCATTTTAAGAACTGCAAAGTGTGACTACTAAATAAGAAAAACTGGCACAGAAATTTAGGAACAGGCATTAGTAGCTAAAGCTGCTTTCACCTCACTTAAAAACCATGTACATGACCAAGAATTTCTGTACAGCAGCAGAGCAACATACTAACGCACCATACTGGCATTGTCAGGTTTGCTTTATGTCGACCACATAAATTCATTCTGAAAACAAATTTCCTGTATCTCCTTCAGCAATGTGATCCTACCACATACTTTATGTACTAAAACCAAGAAAAGAAAACCCTGCTGGAGTCTATTTGTATTTCCTGGAATTAACCTTGAAAATGACTGTTTTGAACGCCATGAACCGAAACTCCACTCACAGCCACGCCTACACTATGCCTCTTAAGTACCTGGAATTCCTCGGCTCTGAATTCGAGTCCTATGACCCCTGAAAAGGCAGACCAACAATTATATTCTGTTGGGGCTCTCTCTTTTTGTTTCAAGTGCAACATACCTCCATCTTCAGCTGTAGTCTTTCATCTCATGTAAGTATTTCCTGAAACAATCTGCGGCAACTCTATGTTGAACCTAACTATAAAGGAGAGGCAGGTTTGCAGTAGCTATTAGAAGCTGTTATGTGGCCGCTTTGATGGAGACAAAGTGGTAATGCAGACATGTCATGTTATGTACACCACAAACCTGGTGTACAATGTAGTTATTTAAGCCCTTCAATTCATCTGCACTTGCTCTCAGGACTGTGAAGTATCTTCATGGAACCTGCCCTATTTCTGAAGTAAATCATTTGGCTCCATTGACTGTTCAGTTCTTATTTTACTTTACCTGTTTTTCTATGTTTCGTAAAAGCAGGGTAGGACTGCTGGGTGACATTTCAAAGTCATGCTCCGGCAAAGAATCCTGTCTCTCAATGGCAGCTTGCGAATTCCCTGTGGCGTTTAATAAAGCTTCTTGGTCTGTCAATTGCATTTGCTTCTTCAAAATGTCTTTTGGAAATGGGAATTCTTCCAAGATCACCATCCCCTAGACAACAGCAATTGAACACAGTTGGTTGACAATGAGTTAACCCTCCTAAATCATTCTTAAGGAGCAGTCGAACCTGGCACATCCCCCTTAAATCCTCCCAGCAACTCTTCGGAGCACTTAAACTAGATTTCAAATACACTTAACAGCCAAAATACAGAAATAGTAGGTATGTTCACTAATGAAAAGCAGCACCATTTATACTACTCCTTATAACAGCAGTCACTCTAGTGTTACACCACTGGTTAAACACCTGTGCCAAAGTTCAAATCAGAAATTCATACTTATCACAGCAACTATATGATCATTTTGCCCGCTGATTTAAGAAGCGGTTTTTCTGTAACAAACAACCACCCTTTGATTTGAAGTTGGTTATAGTCTTTGCAGCCAACAAATTTTGCAGAGACATTTTAAAGTGTTCTATTTTTCTTATTCCTATCCATGTTCTAAGAAAAGCATCACTTCAAGGTTGTTATTTTTCATGTAGCAGAGATGTATACAATTCAAAACAAAAGTCTTTTACAATAATTCATCTTTTTAAGGTGAGCATTTTTAGAGTTTCATAATTACACAGGTAACTATCCTAAATATTCTAGCAATCTCATTGCTTTTAAAGACAATCTGCACAAATGTGATATATTTTTATATATATATATATATTCTATCATCTAGAATGCCACCTAGGAAGATAAATGTATCTTCATACAGTAGGGAAATAACAGAGTTTCATAAATGGAACTAGGAAAAGAATATCCCCACTGTGTTTTGCACATGACAGATCAGAAAAATACATGTCAAATACTGGGTAACATCTCAGCTGGATTTTTTTAACAATTTAAAACATTAAAATAATAAGCAAAAATAACTTTGTACCAGTCAAAAATGGTTCCTCAAATAGCCCCTTAATTAGTCATTATCTTGAGCAAATAAATTTAATACTCAGAAAAGGCAATCAAATCTCTGCAAGCTTTTTCCAAAGAGAAAGGAAAAGAACTTACTTGCTTTTAAGTACCGGCTGTTACTCAAATATCAAGCAGATATTGAAAGAATGGGACCATTCAATTACACTGCCTCAATTTTTTCTTTCTAGTGAGAATATTCTACTAAAACCAAGAAGATTGTCATCATGTCAACACAAACTCCCTATATGATTTCTAGAAGCAACACAAACTACAGTTAGGTTGTGGCTGTGGAAAATTAAGGATCCTGTAGTTTTACTCACACCTCGAAGCCTGCTTTAGCAGCAACTTGCCCTAAAACATGAAAGCAAGTCTCAAAGAGACTTCAAAGGGGAGACTAGGAGAAAATGTGAAATTGTCCTGTTCTCATTGAGTCTCTAACTTATTCCCGTTTAGGTTATAAATTCAAAGCTGAGAACAAAGATATTCTCTAAAAACATACTTAGGTGCTTGAAAACTTGCTTTAGTGCACAAAAGGGCCACAGAGATTCTGAATTTCCATCAAGTCAATGCTAGATTTTGCATGTTGCTTATCAGGTAGTACCCATCATCCGTCCTTTTCCATTTACAGCAGATGGAAACAAATGCAGACAGTATCATACTACAGTCTGTAGACCAACAGCAGTTACAAAGTAGGCAGTATGTTCAACGAAATTCAAGTATAGATCTAATTTTTATGTGCCACAACCGGAGGAAACTTTAGGCTCTTTTAGAATTTAGAATCTTTATATCTTTTCAGTAAAAGAATCCTAGGTCACAACCACAGAGAGCGCAAAAAAATAACTCACAGAAATCTAAAACACAAATTCTGAAGTCAGAGGAATAGGAAGACAGATAGGAAAACTGGTGAAAAGAGGGGGACACACCTCCCCCACTGCCACTTCCACTGGAATTTTATTTTTTTAAGTTGCAGAATCCTGTTGATCAAGCATGGAAAGAGGAAAGCAGAAAAAGAAGCAGGAAATTGACAGACTGCATTGAAAGGGAGAGACACATAAAAAAAGAGGAAGAGTAAAGAATTGGAAGACTAATACTGACTACATAGGAATTATAAGTTAAATGGGTTACAACCCATTTGGTTTCGGCAATGAAGTCCCTTCCCATCTGCCCTTAAACGAAATTGTTTTGTTTTGCAGATAAACATTTTTTAAATGGAAGGGTTCTCAAAGACCCAGAGCTGCTACTTATATGTGCATAAGATGGAGAAGACACAGGAAATTGCCCACAAGTTAACCACCTCCCTTTCTACTGCATTATGGTGTTAGAGGAGTGGCATTTTGCTCGAAATCACTGTTCACTGGCTATGAATCACCTTTTTTTTCCCACTCAAAACACACGAAAAACACTCTGAAACCATTAAATACAGCATACAAATTCTAATGACACTGTGTAACTACTCTGTAGTCACTAAACGAAAACAGTGCTCTTCTGTCAGCCCAATGTCCTTCCATAGCTGCTGCACTGGTGTACTACAAACACGTACACAAAAAGATCACAGCCGAAGAAAATACATGTCTACCTTCACTATGGGACACAACGCCAAGTACTGAATACCACAGCAGGTAAAAGGGGCATGAAGTCTGCAAAAAGGAATGTCACTACAGATCCCCACCGGGAAGATGACTAGGCTCCAAGCCAACATATCACCTAATGCGAAGAAAATGCATGACTAAAGGAACGTTCTTTCTCTCCTTTCTTTGTTATTTATTTGTCCGTCTTCTGCAGCTCATGAGACCTACGTCACCCTAAAGGCTGACAGCTTATTGGTGTAATGGTGTGCGTGTACCTGGTATTTATTGAGGGTGAAGGGAGAAGAGGGAATAATTTTTCTTTATGTGATCAGACGGAAACGCTCTCTCAGGTGACTTCCCTCTCCTTTTAAACTCCCTCTAAGTCTCACGTTCAGCCACATAAAGTCTAAAGCATCTTCTGGCTCCTTTCCATCTGTGCTTATATGACCCCAGCACAAATCAGACAACCTACATGAGGCTCATCAATGGAGAGTCAAAGAGCTCTCCTCTAAAATCCCTCACTATCATCACACCACCAAAATTATCACAGGTTTTGGCTTCTTGCATGTGATAACAACCTGGGGAACTCATTAAACTGATAGATAGATTATTAATGTTTTAGGAATGTGACTTTCCCACTGTCTAGCCAGTTCAATTTACAAAAACTAGTACATGAGTTACACACATTGGAATTTTAGTAATAATTAATCCTTGACCTGTTCAAAGTGCTGAACAACCATTAACTAGCTAATCCTCAGAATAAACATGCACTGTAAATAACAAAAAACCCCACCCCGAAACCCCACAACACAAAAATGAATAACCAACCACCCGACCTGAAAACCAAATCTTGCCTCTTCTGCAGAGGAAAAAAACAGTGTGATCAATGCAGTACCTTGTGCTGGGCCCCTGAAAGTCACTAACTATCACAGACAGGAAAGTAAGAGTTCCTGACTCCCAGTCCTGTACCAGTGTCTCTAGGGCACAATACTTTTTAGCCCCTGATGCCTTTCTGGTTAACCTTTGCGTGTGATAGCCTGAACAGAAATAAGAACTCCAGGACAAAACAAACAAACAAACAACAACAACAAGGAACCAAATAAATATTACAAGAAACACTGTCAAAAGATTATTTGAAAAGCCCATTTGTGAGCTTATAGACAATACCTTGGTGGCACGTATCTGCCTGTGAAGGTCAGTTAGTTGTTGGATTTTGTATTCTAGTTCTGAAATCTGGGCCTGAAGCCATGTCCAACGGCTGCCAATTCTAGCTCTGTCTGCAAGCCACTTCCATTCAGAAGTATAGCTGCTGTGAAGACAAAATGCTGGTTAGTCCAAAAATAAAGATAACCACATTTGCACAAGAACATTTTTGACAGCTGCTTTGCCTCATGTTGCAAGCATCTCAGTTGCTTTCAGAAGACATCTGGTTATACCCATCCAGTTTCACATCAGCTTATTTCTGTAACGACAGAACTTGCCCAAACCAGTGTCATCAATGTTCACTGGCTATTCTCAGGCTAAGGTAGTTTTCTGTTCTGTATTATAAAACCCAGAGCTGAAGAAATTATCAAACTATATCAGTCAATGAAGATTACAGACTTGTAGAGAATTCTAGCAACTCCATCAGCAAGAATCCAAATTCTTACACCACACTTCTTCCCACAAGTTTCCATGAATATCGTTTGCTAACAACTGGAATCTAGTAAAACACCATCCAGCAATGACCAGCTACATATCAAGTCACTGCCCAAAACCCCAACTAAGTAGTTTAGATTTCTTTTATTCAAGCTATTTTATAAATATAGCTGTGTCAGTATAGTATAATTAGGTCACTCTTACTAGAGCTGTTTGCAAACAGGTGTATTCTGTAACACAAAAGATATGCCTGCTGGTACTTGACATTGTGACTAGCTTAACTTTATTATGCTAAATTAATCACTGGTGCCAGCAAACACTACTCAGCCTACATATTCAATAAATGAATGACATAACGGTACCATTCAACATAAAATCTTAGTGTCCAGTAAGTTTAAGCAACAGAGACAACACAATGCAATATTTTAGTATGCAACTTCCATTAGTATCCTACCATTAACTGAATTAGTTTATTTAAAGAAAATGACTGGTGTTTTTTTTCCCACTAAAGTTGTCATGTAGTTTGCCACAGCTAACTTGAAAGAACTGTAGAAACAAAATCAAACTTCTTCTGGAAAAGAAGTGCTTTCCCTCAAGTCACTGGGGTAACTACTGCATCTAAATCCTGGATGACGCTGCATGTAAGTTTTGCACAGGCAGAATACATGATCCCTTGTTCCCCAGGCAATGAAGAGGGCTTAAGTATCACAAAAGAGTCAAGAAAAAGCAGAACATCAGGAACATCACAAAAGCACAATTGTTTCATGCAGAATTTTGTGTCAACTACCTCATCAATGAAATAAAGGTAATACATCACTCTGCAGGAGGTGCTAGATGTTTCCTGGCAGAATCCAGTACAGAATCATCAAATTTGAGAATCTTGCTATTTTCAGGGCAAAAATTACAAAACACAGTATAACTCAATAACTCAAAACTTTTGTCTACTTTAGCTATCATAAATAGTAAGAACAGACACACTTTTCGTTAGGTTACCTCTAAAAGGCATAGTTTGCCCTGCTTTTAACATAAATTATATCTGAAGGGTGGGTGTCGGGAGGATGGGGCCGGGCTCTTTTCGGTGGTGCCCAGTGACGGGACAGGGGGCGGTGGGCACAGACTGGGGCACGGGGGGTTCCGTCTGAACGTGAGGAAGAACTTCTTCCCTCTGAGGGTGACGGAGCACTGGAACAGGCTGCCCAGGGGGGTTGTGGAGTCTCCTTCTCTGGAGATATTCAAGACCCGCCTGGACAAGGTCCTGTGCAGCTTGCTGTAGGTGACCCTGCTGCGGCAGGGGGGTTGGACTAGATGGCCCACAGAGGTCCCTTCCAACCCCTACTATTCTGTGATTCTGTGATTATCTGCCTGCACAATTTACAACCAGTTTGAACTCTCTCCTACACAGACAAAATGAACATATAAAATTAGACAGGAGATTGAAATGTCCTGTTTCAACTCATATTCTATATGCAAGCAAATAAAGTGGACTACCATCATAAGAAACTCAAAGAACTATATAAATATATACCATAATAAACTCATTACATTTTATACATTCTATTAGTGATTTTGTCCTACGAAAAAAGGCATATGAAGTCATCTTGTGAATATCCATTTTTCTCACAAACCCTTAATTCCTCTTTACTTTCGCATTATCACCAGCACATAGTAAATAGCCCTGGCTACTTATGCTTTAACCAGGTCTTCTTGCCAAGAACGTTTTCAGGATTGACAGCTTTTGCATGTTTGTGCTTCTGGAAGCCACAAAACAGAGTCTGCAGGGAAAGAAGGGGGATCTGAATTCCTAATTGGCCCAAGTCAGAGTTCAATTAAATAATGCGTTCACACAAGTGTGGTGGCTGGTCTAGTTAGGATTTGTCTCAGGACCCCGGGATAGCAAAAAGCTAGTCCTAAGAAAGAGCTACTTAATGAGGCTGTAACAAATCCCTTAGTTAATAAAAAAAAGTTAAATAGGAATAAAGAGGATAACCAAGAAAAACCCAAAAGGGGTGTTCAGGTGCTTGTTTCTATTCCTTTCTCAAAAGACAAATGGACAACCAACCAACCCCCACAAACCAGGACACAGTAACAAGGAAGCCCAAGTGAAAGAAAATAAATTACGCTGAAAGAATTACCTCCCAAACTAGATGCAACGGTCTGGGGAGAAAGGTGAGCTATCCTCTAAGAGACCACGGAGAATGAGAAAAATAAAAGTGCCCAGACAGCTGGGAAACAAGAAGCAGAATGGAAGGGGCTGGAGCTGGTCTTGTCACATACACTATATAAAATCAGCATGGCAGTAAGGGAATCCATAATCAACACCAAACCACAGCAGATAACAGAAGAACCGTTAAACATTGTAACCTTAAGACAAACAAATAATATCCTCTATTACTGTCTTACAAAAAAAAAAAATCTCTGCAAAGTTACAAGTTATTTCTTAAAAATGTATTTGCATTTTTTTCTTAAACACAGTATTAAATCTTGAATTAATGGCATTCACTGTGAAATATATTATGCATATTTCTGCTTCATTCTAAAATACTATGCAAATATTTCTTAAGGCTTTAAATTGTACTATATAATTAAACTAACAGGATTTAATTACACTCTAATGATGACATCCTTAGGCTCCTCCGTAAGGAAGAGTTTCCACTGAACTAAGCACCAACATTTTATGCTCACGCCAAACGAAGCAATTTCAGCTTCTCTCTCCTGCCAGCCCAGGCTGCCCCACGCCCAGCACCTGCACAAGCACTTGGGCAGCTACACGGTGACATGGATTAGAGAGACGCTCATGGTTAATTTTAACTTCAGAGGCAGGGTGAATGCAGCAAGTTTAAGTCTAGATCCCTTTCAGTTTTGATGCCTTGCAGACAAACAGACAGTTTTGCACTGCCACAAGGGAAGGGGCAGGAAGTTCAGGGCAAGGCTAATATTTAGGGGATAGAAGGTTAGAGCACTGCTAAATTCTGTTCCCATCTCTGTCACTCACATTTGTTTGATCTTGAATTATTTATTTATCATCTTTGCCTCTAAGTTTATTTCTCTACAAACTATTTAGAAAGCCTTGTAACTCCTCAGAGGATGATAAAACCGCTATAAGCTATCCTCACACTCCTACACTGAGCTGTCTGCATGCAAAGTAGTATGGTCACTCAAGTGACAAATGACAACCTATTACTGTAATTGAAAAAAAAAAAATCTGTAAATCTGTTCCTGGAATTTTAGAGAGCACAACATAACATTCACTCAGTAAAGCAAACTGTTGCAAGGTGGGGCCAGTGAATTTATTAATTCTGCAAATCCAGAGAAGAAAAAAACCAACCAACCAACCACAAATGGTTACATAAATAACCAGACCTGTTACTGAAGGAGTTAAGTCAGAGCAGGGGCTAAAGTAGAAGCTCCTGCTCTGGCTCTCTGTTTGGAATGAGACAAGAAGAAAAAAGTTTCTGTCTGTCCTGCTTCTTGTGTGCTCCTTTTGCAGAGCATCTTTACTTCATTTCCATGCTTTTTGACTTTAACATCATACATCTTCCACAGGAATTTCAAATTCGTTCTTCTGCTGGCAACTCAATATAAACCACATTACATTTTCAAAAGTTTCTAATGTTCAGTACAGTAGTACAGTGAAGTACTAAACTTATATATAAACTTACAGCTCTTGTGATGACTCTAAAATCTGCAGATGATCTCCTGCACTCATCCAGGACTATTAGAATTGGCAGAGAACAGAGCAATATTGACTTCGTATGAATAAAACATGTCACTTCAATCTCCCTAGAAAAACATGCTGGAATTGCATTAGAGGCAAAATTTGTTTCCATGTGAGACACTGGTTTGCATTTCCCCTGTTTAGGTCGAACTGCAGGAAATCAATCCTGCACAACTTCTAAGAGAAGACAGACATGCAAAAGAACAAAAAAGCCGCAAGGAGCACAGACACAAATGCAGACAAAGTACAATCAAAAATATAACTAGGAAGCAGACTTTCAGGCTGTACTGTGTCCCAAAGTATGGGACAGAAATCAGCTGGGGATCTTCAGCACTAGCAGATGTAGGTAGTATAAGCATCTCATCAAAGCTACTTGCTTTTGCTGAGACTGAAGAGGCAAGTGAAGGGCACTAAGTGATATATTGCTATTACAGTCAGTACTATTGCTTGAACTGAAAGAAGTTTTTAGCCATGATCTATGGACAGAATATATGGATGAACCCCTCAGCACTCTCACCTTCCCCAAAACAGAATTGATAACAAACCGTGCTTTTACATAACCAAACCAACATCGGAAAATGCAACAGGACTATGACAATTATTTCCAGTGCCTCCATTATGTTGTGGTGAGGTTTATGTTTTCCAAACAGCTAAGATCAGTCTGTCCCAAAAAACAAATCCAGGCAACCTAACTGAGTGCAAAGGGGAACTGCTAACCAAGATAAAATTGCTGTGCTAGATACACACTGCTGTTTGGGTTTTGTGCATGGGTTTGTTTGTTTGTTTACAGGAGAGGAGAAGGGGTGGAATTTAAACCTTTTCGGCATATTTTGTTTTTATAAGCAAACAAAACAAGAAGCCTGAAAAACAGTTCACAAATAATGAAGGAGAAACATAGCGGTGTTTAAAAGGCACAAAAAATACAGAACCCAGGACTAATAGTAAGCATCCAGGAA